CCTGTCTCGTAAATTGCGACCAAAGTCAAAAAAATTGAATTTTTGGGTGTAAATTTCCGTGGGTCCCATTTGTGTTACGGAAATTTATGCCCCAAAAAATTTTCTGATGTTATACTTAGTTTTGTTTATTAGTTTTAGTATTATTTTATCTCGTTGTCTTTGTAAATTGTAAAAGGTTTACACAGATAACACCATAGAAGTTGAAATGAATTTTACAGATCTGTAAGAATGTACAATAAGTATTTTTTATTTTATTTTATTTTTTTTTTAAAAGAAATAAATAGAAATATACTTACCTTTCTCCTTATCTCTCTAGAATTAGGCTCATAGGTTTGTGAGGATGTTTATAGAAGTCAAAATTGACTTTACAAGCCTTACAAAGACAACACGATAAGTATTTTTTAATATTATTTTTTTTTAAAAATATTTTTTTTTAAAAAAAAAAAATAAAAATATAATTTGGAATACCAAAAATAATTTGAAATGCCAAAATTAATTTGGGGTGTCAAAAATAATTTGGATTTGAAATTTGAAACTGGAATTTGGAATTTGAAATTTTGGCATTTGGATTTTGAATTTGGATGGCAAGTATATATCAAATGGTGATTTTTATATTAAAAATTTGAATTCTTATACTATAGATTAGCTAAAAATTGGTAAAATCACTGTCCTATTGCATCCTATATTATAAATCAACTAAAATTGAAATTTCTTTTCAGTACAGCAATTCTTTTGTATTGACCTGTAATAGTTACAATGTTTTAAAAAATAATATATTTTTTTATTTACAATTGTATTAGTAATTATGCCAATAATTACACCTTGCATTAATAATTATGTCTTGTGTCAATAATTACATTTTATGCCAATAGTTGTGTCTTGTATTAACAATTGCATCTTGTGTCAATGGTTACATCTTATCAATGCTAAAAAAAGGACTCTTTGATTCAATTCCAATTTTTTCTAATTTTAATTGCATCTGATTCAATTTAATAGTTTTGATAACATGTATAATACAGATATTAATTTACAGGAAAAGTAACAAAATATGTGTTGAAAAATAATAAATCATATAGAAGAATTAATAAAGATAATAAAGATATAATGAATCAAGTTAATGTTTTATTAAATTATTATTCTTTTCAAATTAGTATTATTATGTGATGTAAATCAATTTTATAAAATTGAAAACTGAATACAGATTTAACAAATACTGAAATAGCAGTTAGAAGTTGTATTAGATTTATAATGGTATTATAATAATATAATTAATATTTATTAAATTAAATAAATAATATTATATAATTATGAGAAAAACATTTTTCACATATAATCCAGTTTTTTTAGGGTTAGAAAATGCTATTTGTCACATTATTTGAAAACAATTTTATTTGAGTAAAAATAGGAGGTGAGAATATGCATTAGAAAATTTTTTTTAACCACAATTGGATTTATAAATTCTAAAGTAAAGGTTTAGAAAGCTAAATCATTAGGTATTTTACAATGAGTTAAAAATATCATAAAAAAAATAATAAGAAGATAGAGACAATAACAAATGAATAATTAAAATATAATAAAATAAATTTGTATTAAAAAAAAAATTAAATTATAAAATAAGTTTATGTCAAATTCTAATTTCGGTAAAACACTGGACTGTTATTAATTTTGCTTAGAAGCAAAGTTTGCATAATATATTATTGGTCAATTCTAAAATCTCTATCTAGGAAAACTAATAATTATAAAAAAAGATATTAAAGAATCTATAAAAGAGATTAAAATTAACGTATTATCATTTGAATAAAATTCATGTATTATTTTGTATATGCAATCTAATCTTCTCCACATTGGATTTTACCACCACCTGCATCCCAGCAACAGACTGGTTTGAAAAGTGCAGGAGCTTCTCCCACTATAAATAAAGTATATTAGTGTTAATACTTATTAACTAGTATATGGGCATTTCAAGTAAAATAATGTTAGTATTGTTAGTATTACCATTTTGGTTTTTATATACAGGTATCCAATATGTGATTTGACATTAAGCTTGTGTAGTTTTGATAGCAAAAACCGAGATTACAAGAATGAGAAAGAATAAAACTTAAAGTTCATAATTAAATAAGAACAACTTTAGTATAGTAGTTAAATAAATTTTAAGATTTTCTATTATAGAATAGTATTTAGTAACCTCCTATATAAACGTTTTCTCATAACGATAACTATTCTTGTGAGAATCATCACATGTTCACATTATAGCTAGATAATTAATCCATAATCTATATTTTATATTCTACGATTAATTCTGAATGATTTACAAATTCGTAACCCAAACTGACGTGTTATTATATTGAGTAAATACACCTAATTTGTGGCTGATATTATTATAGTATATCCAATTAGGATGATATTTTTTGTTATTATATATATATAGTAATGGTTGTACCAACCCGCTGAAATAGTATACTCCATACAATAAAAATCAAATCATATGTAACCCGGACTTTTGTCTCGTTTAGCGTGTCATAATATTTAAGATCGTTCATACAGTCCAGTTTATTGTCACACGTAATAATAATGACCGAATTTCTCTTGACTGAATCAATAAATACTCTTGACTATTTGAAGATGAATACATCATATTTTATTCCCCACCCCACTTTACACACTTTATCTTACGTATAATAAAATAAAATGATTTCAAAATTTATTTCAGTAACAATTTTATTTTATTATTTGGAAAAAACATTAGCACCACCCAATAAAATCAAATCAACTTTCCGAGATGTCTACAAACGAGAAGGATTCATTGGAATGTTGTTTTTTTATATAGTGAGAAAAATGGGAAAACTTCAATTATTTATGTCATACGGATTTTATGTTTATCTAATGTATCAACAAGGATATAGTGGAAAGCCGGAATATTCTAGTAATGATTTACCAAATTTATCAAAATTGGATAATGCATTTATTGTGGTTTTTATATCAGTAATTATTGGAATAATATTAAGATTATGGAGTTTTAAAGCTCTTGATGAATTTTTTACTTTTGATCTTACTATTAAAAAGGATCATAAATTAATTACTCATGGTCCTTACAGATATTTAGTTCATCCTTCGGTAAATATTTGATTATTATTGTTAATTATTTATTATTTAATTATTTTTTGATTATTTACATTATTTTTATTTATAGTACGCCTCAATGTTATTTACTTGGCCATATATAATTTACATAACTTCTCAATTTGCACCATTTGTTAAATTATATGAATCATCATTATCACCAATAGCTTATTTAATAATATCATTCATAATATCAACAAGTCATCCATCATCGATTGTGTTTAAAATTTTAACTGGGTTAACGTTTATAACATTGTCCAATAGAATGAGAAACGAAGAAGCAATGATGAAAAAGCATTTTGGAAAAGAATGGGATGAATTTGTTCAAACTAGATGGAGATTAATTCCCTATTTGATTTGATTTGACTTAATTTGATTTATTATAATTTTATTATTATATTTGACTAAATTCCTGGGTCAATTAGTATTGAGTCTATCACCTTAGGTGACGGTAATGATGATGATGACGAATGGTGATAATAATGATGATAATGATATTTTTATTTTTATTTATTTTTATTTATTTTTTTGTAATATAATTCGCGAACTCTATTAAATATATCAAATATCATATGTTTTGATAATATTATCATAATTACAATTTTATATAATTAACTGTTAATTCGTCATGTGTTTAATACTTTTACTGCGGTGCTGCGTATACTGCGTATTTCGTGTTCACCTGACTTTGGAACCTAACGAAAATTGACATTTAAAAAAAAAATTAAATAAGTTTAAATTAGCTTCCGTGTAAGAGAATCATACGCGTCATAATGCCAAAATGTGTGTTCCAGTAGGAAATTGTCAGTTAATGTGTGAAAGTAAGAATCATTTTCATGATTTAGAAAAATACGCGCATCATTTTTGAGTAGTAATAACATGTCTTTTTTTTTTTTGATTCAATTTAGATATCAAAGTCGCGATTGAATTGATTCATATATTTCAAGAAATGTGATCGGTATATAAATACAAGTAAGGAATCTTTGAATAATTAAAAAGTTTATGAATATTTCAGGCATGGAAGTTGGAAGTTTTATTTTTACAAAGGGATTATACATTTTTAGTTTTCGTTTTCTTAGGATAATCGAATTATTGTAATAATATTATAATATTATTCCATATTTAGTATACACAAGCATACAAAAGATCAGAATAAGTTTAGACATGAAGGAATTTTCCAAATTGAGAGTTTTGTTTACATTATGGGAAAAATAATACAGAGTAGTCGAGTAGTCTATAGAAATGCTTATTCCATAAATAATTTATAGGAGCTACATAAATTTACAACGTTTAATTAATTTACATATCTCACGAAATAATATTCTCGAGTAATTGTTCGGAATGCTATATCCGAAAAAAACCATAAAAAATTTGAAGTAACAAAACATGTGATCCAGATAAATCCTAAACTTGTATAATGATTATTTTATTGTCTGTTATCTATTGTATCAATAGAATACGTTATTATTCATTTTTATTATTTCATTAGACAAAAGAACGGCTACAATACATTGGAAAATCAAATATTCCATTTAAACCTATCGTGTCAAAATATTACGTTCGATTTTTGATGATTTTTTGTCTTAATATTTTATTTGAAGACTAATTAATAAATTACATTACAAAACTTCATTAAGTGTACTTCCATTAAGAAATAAAATAATTTCTAAATTTTGAACAATATTCTGAATTTCCATCGCGTTGGAAGAGAGATAGCATCAACAACAAATCAAAACGAGTATCATTTCAATACAACTTAAAAATTTCTTAAAGAAAATGTCAGTATTTTTGATATTGTTACGACAGTATTAGCAATTTCAAATACCGTAAGAAAAAAAAAAGATAATTCGTGATTCATATAAGAATCATAATCTCGTCTCGGAATAAGAATATCATAAGGATACAAATAACTACATTAAATACGATATATACAAATATAACATTATGCTGGCACAAAGAAATAAAATGTATATTCCAGATATCAAATTTTATTTTTATACTTTCTTTTTTTTTATGTAACTTTATTCATTTTTTTGTTTTGTAAAACAAATCTCCTGCAAAAAAAATACAAATGTTTGTTCGTATTACCTTCTACCCCGCTCCAAAAATGGTTATTCATCGCATTCGATTCAAAAATGATAGTGTGCTGTCACACGTTTATATCAAAACCGAATGTACAAATGTGAGAATTGAGCGACTAGGTACTAAACAGTCATTATAATTGTCCAATGAATAAAATTGATCGGACTTGTTGGTGGTTGTGGTAAAGAAGAATTAACTCTACCAAATTAATTGAACATCTAGCGTTGGAGGCAAATTTACATTCCTCATCCAATCTTCGTACGTTAGTTTGTTGTGACCGGGATCTTACGAACTTTAATTAATACATCTTTTTCCTTGGTCAACGTGCGGTTGAAAAATAGGACTTGATCTTTTTATTTTTATCACATATATGCATACAGTAGATACTAAAAACAAATTTTTCCCGTGTCTTAACCATCTAATAAATGTCGTCCATTCACCCCGATATAACTCACGATAAATTTAACGATAACGGACCAAAATTAAACTTTTAAATAATAATCTTCTTTAATTAATTTACTTGCTTTCCATGCGACCGTAGCAGTTGGAACATTTAAGATTACCTGCTGGAATAGTTGTACCACATGGATGTAATGACGAAGTTGTCTATGATAAGGGAAGTTAATATCAATAATTTTATTCTCTTTACATCAACAATATACAGTAATAATACAATAAACCTAAATAAAACAATAAAAATCCGTTATATATAGATATACTTACCTTTTTAAGAATGTATTTTTCACATTCTCTATCACTATTCACTTCATCTAGTCCAATTACTTTTAAACACATCCAAGAAGAAGATAATTTTTTTTTTTTAAAAAAAAAAAGATAATCAGATTTTTATATATATAATTAAAGATCTATGAAAATTTTTTAAAGTAAATATTTACAATATTGTTAAATCACATCAGTGGTGTTCAACACTAGTGATTATTATTCAATAAAAATAAAGCACATTCTTTAATTTCAGACACATGATGTTCAAGTGATCTAAATTATTTCACATGTTATAAATATTTGGTAACAAATATGCTTTTTTGCATGTAAAAAAATTCCAAGTCCCTAGGATATCTAATAAAAATTGATATTCAAAGGGTGTAATACAGGATGATAAATACCCTACCCTTGAAAAATACTAACCTTAACTCCTACAGTATAGTTTATAATATTCAACACCACTGGTGTGATTTAAAGTTTTTGAATATTTAAAACATTAAATTATGGAATATTATACCAAAAAATTTCCTGATACTTATATTAGGTTCGTAAGCTATTGCATAGGCTCACAAGTCACATATGGCTTATGAGTCTTATAAATAGGCTTGTGAGCTCCTAAAACTTATAGAGAACTTTAACTCCCAAAGCCTGTACATTTGCATTAACATATAAATCAATATAATCAAATCACCCTTGTTATTTTGTCTTATTTCTAAAGAAAATTTATCAAATATAAACTTAAATAGTAATTAAATTACTAGTCAAATATAAAAGAATTATTGTATCAAATAATGTTTCCTATATTATAGATCAGCTAAAAATTGACAACAATCAACTGTCTTATTGTATCCTATATTATTATCAACTAAAAATTTAAATTCCTTTTCAATACAACATATCTTTTGTATTTGACTTGTAAATAGAACTAAGATCTCATAAAAACATAAAATTACATTATAAAAATAATACAAAAAAAGATATTAGTATTAAAAATGTACAAAAATTTTTTTGAAGTATTCTATAAATATGAATTTCATAATTTTAAATAATAATAATAAAAGTATTAATCAAAATTTAAGGATTTCAATATATGAGTTGTTATAGTATCCAATAGAATACATGATTTTGATCTTAGCCTTTTTTTGTTATTAATTAAACTTTACTAAAGCTTTAATACTTAAACAATATATAAATTCTATTATTGATGAAATGAATCATTGTGTTATATTAATTTCTTACTATAAAGATCTAAAATTATTTTCTAATAGTTTTTTATATCTTATCTTATTAACCATCTCAGAATATAGAAGCCTTATAAAAATAATGATTTTTATTATAAATAATCTCTATGGTGGTATAATTATAATCTAATTAGATTATAATTATATCACTTAGTTTGGATTATTGTTCGGAACATAGTGGAAGACACTTAATGGACAAGCAAAGTGATACCAAAGTTATATTTTTGATACATTATAAGTTCCGTTATTGATGCAATTAAAAAAAAAATAAGAAAAATATCAAAAATGTAACTTGGAATAAGTATCTGTTTGATTTTAAATAAGATATTATAGATAAAGAACACATGACGATTAGATTAAAAAAAATAAAAAATAATGAAAATAAATAATAATTACACAACAATAATCATTTTTTCATTTTTTTATTTTTATTTTGCAAAAATCTTCTTTTTTTATTTCTTTATTTCTGATCTAACAAAACCAGATCTCCAAACTCAAAATGACAAAAAGAAAAAGGAGAAAACTTTATTATTATAAGTAGCTTAATTATATTGATTCCTGTTATTTCGTTATTATGATCAGCTAATACATTTATTATTATTATTATTATTATTATTAATAGAAAGTAGTTGTTTCTTCTTCTCTATCCTTTCTTTCATCTCTTTACACTCCTTAATACATTCATCAGGAAATTTTAAAAGGCAAAAATCTTCAGAAATTTTTCAGTTTGATTATTTTCCGGAAGTTCTGCAGACTCCCGAAATTTTCTGGAAAAAAAATTCACAATATTCTGAAAATTTTTGCAGTTTTTCAGAATTTTTTGTAATAAAAATTTGCAAATATTCCGGAAATTTTACAAAAAAATTCGCAATATTCTGAAATTTTTTGTAAAAAATTTGTGTAGAAAATTGTTATATTTTCAATTTTTCGAAAAATTTTGATAAGTTATAATTA